ACGGGTCTTGTTGTCATCATTTGTGAACTAATTGGGATCATTTCACTTCCTTAAACAATTCTAAATATCTTATTGGTCTTTAAACCTCTCTTTCTCTCGAAGATGATGGAGAAATTGAAGCGTCAATTAGCTGAAGCGGACGCTGCAGATGAAGCGAGGAAGAAAGCATCAGAGGCTAGTGTTGTTCCAAAGCCAATTGGAGAAGGACTTGTGATCGATGAATGGGTACGACTCTATAACATAACGTTCAATTTTCATGTCCTTATTAGAGCTTAATCTTCTTCTGATGTTTGATGTGTTTCTTCTATAATTACCAGAAGCAACGTCGAGAGAGATATCTTGCACAACAATAAGGTGTAGACTCGGCTTGATACCCAAAGATCACAAAGTGTGTATGTGTTTTTTTGTTCTGTGCCTAATCAAAATGTGTTGTGTGAAGAGAAAGAAGATTGTATTTAATTCTGATAAATTTTATCAAAACTAACATTGTTCCTTGGATCTTGATCCCTTAAGCGCCACTAACGATTTGATAACGCCTGGGGAAATGCTGTCAGCGAGAGCTCCAAGTTCCGATATGAAAAGAGCCTTCTCTTTCACTAAGCTCTGCAACTTCTTTGATTCAAACGCCATTTGCTCTTCGTCTACAAAGTGGAACAATCAGTCATTGAAAAGAGCGCGAAAAAATCCGTAAAAACATAAAACAAGTACCTTTCTCTAGGAATGTATGAACCACATGAAACGGAACCGCAGCAAAAATATCAGATCCTGGAAGAATCATCCAAGTGGGTTCACTAGAATCATGAGATCCACACGTCGAGCAAACTTCTTGGACCATTGAGCTTCCATGGATATTAACATTCATCATCATAGAATCAAAATGAGAAGGAACACAAGTCTTTGTTGTTCGAGCTCTCTTCCTAAGTGCGGTTGAAGCCTCTCTGTTTGCATTACTCTGCTTGTCATTCTCCACAATCTGTTTACACATATTACAACCCTTACTCGACCTAACAATATGTCAATATATGTAGTAAATTTGCAATAACAATGGTGAAGTAATGAACAGTTTCCAAGTAGATGATACCAAAATGGGTTTCGAATACCTGAGTTCGAGCTAGTAGAAACTGATCAGCTTCAGCTTCAATTTTTTCCAATAGTTGAGCAAATTTCATCGAGTCCAAAACCATATCCAATCTAAAAGATTCAGAGGAGCGATCAGAATTGCGACACAAAAATTTCTCAGATTTACTAACGCAAACAAAACAATCAAAAGGCAGGATGGAGAAAGGCGACGTCGTTTAGGGAAAAATAAACGTTAAGTAATAATTAGGGTTATCTTATACTATAATATAATAAGGTTTCTCAAAGTTCAAGCCATGAGAGGCTGCCATATGTCATCTAATTTTTTGACATTTATCTTCTTAAATTATTTATTGAAAACAAAAGAGAAATTAAGTGTGTTTCAATAACTTTAGCAATTAATTCTAACAATTAAATAACTAATTCTTATGTAAATTAATTATAACAAGTTACAATTAAGTGTTTTGTGTAGATTTATGTAGTTCTTATATAAATTATAATATAATTTTTATATAAATAAATGTATAGAAAATTGATATTTTATTTCTAAAATAAAATCCAACAACTATACAAAAAACATGTATTTTTTTTTTGCCTTTTATATAGGTTATTGCGATTTTAAAATTAAAAAAAAAATCACAAAGAATAGTTTAAATAAAAAGAAGTATAACATGAACAAAAAAAAAGATGATGTGAGAAAATTAATTAAATAATGATTTTATGACTTTTAGTGCTGTTAAATCCAATAAGTCTAATTGGAGAAATTTAGAACTTAAATGTTTTAAATGCTTTCATAGATTTTAAAGTCATATAACATTGTACATGTCCAACAATTTGATACAAATGCTTAGTCTTATAACTTAGATAATTATTTACTATAAACACCAAATTTATATAATATTATATATAAAAATAATAAATAAATAAAAATTATTATATAAATAAAATTTATATAATATTATATATATCTTATGGTTACTAATCATTCGGACCGTCTGGCACATATTCCATCCCACACGGCACAACTACCATCCGAAGTCTTAATTGATTTTATGGGTTAAAATGATTAAAAAACCGGTCGGAATTTAATACCGTACCTAATAAGTAGGTAAGTGCTTGGTTTGGTGCGACACAAACGTTGTTGTTTACTAAGAACTACTAATGTTTGGTGAAAAAATTGACTTGATCGTTTATATCCATCAACCTTTCAAACTTTTAGATACGCATGACCAAATCTAACCCCGCATAGACTCGTAATTGACTTGACCTGTCCAATGACTCTCATGAGTCAACCTAATATATTGTTGAAACGTCAACATTTTATATTTAAGAACTTACCTGAGAAGCAATTGAAATGAAACCGGCCCCCTACAATTTCCTCGAAAGTTTTTTTTATTTGCTAAACAATTTCCTCGAAGTTATTGTGTAGATACGTACACGACAAAGCACTATTTGTCTTTATAATACAAGAGGTTTAAATCCTGTTGCCCTACGCATAAGTTAGAATCGCTTAAACCAAAAGAAGGAAACAATCAGCTCCTAAGAGAGAGATTCATTCACTAAAATGGCAAAGGTACGTTCAAGATATTCTTTCTTTATT